ATGAAATTTTCATGCTTCAAATGATCGATTATTCCTATTTACGCTAACAGATTGCCTTCATTTGATAATTGAAATAATCCAAAATGATTCTTTTATAGGCTTGGTGACTATTTTTCCGGAAATTTTTGAAACAATAAAACCGGAAGAATTAACTGTACAAATATCATTTCCATTTTGCGTTGTTGATTTGAAACGGAAGGATTATTTGTCACAAAAATGATTCCGGATTTTAATACAGAAGCTAAACTTCTTGTGTTGTAATTTGTTTTTGCTACAGGATATGATTGTAAAACATCGACTGCTCAGGAAATAACTGGACAATAAATAAGTAATGAAAAATCGATTATTCCGGTAATTTTCCTTTACAAAAAGCCATTTTGTCATTAGATTGAATATTTTCATTTCTGTATTGAAAGTTTTATTAACTTACGTTACTTATATGATGTATGATTGTAATACAATGAGTGGACAGTAACATGACAGTATCATATCGATCGAAAAACTTCCACTGATAAATGGTATTTTTGAAATGATGGAATCTGGCATCAAATTTTGTAAGGTATTTTTGAAAAATATTCCTCAAAATATATAAATAGAAGATAGGTAATTAGCCCAACTCAGTAACAACCGTTCCATTGACGGAAAAAAAAACCGTTTTTATGCATTCCGGTAAACCGTACGATCTATGATTTATGATCAGAAGTTTAATCTTTTCGTCGAATAATTTTGATTCCTTTGCTCTCTGGAAACTTTTTATTAATTACATTGGCAAGCAATCGTTTTATGCAAATTGGCAAGTAATCGTTTTATGCAAATGCGATTATAATTTGCGTCATAATTCGGAATTATCAACCAAATTCCTTTAACTCGTGATCGAGTGAAATAGTTCCAAGAGTTATTTCAATAATCGAATATGTAATTTCATCATCAAAAAATTATGATGTATTTTTTCTTTTTTTGATCGGAATTTATTATAATTTAAATAAATTTGCCTCACATTTGAAAGTCTGATTTTTTTTTTGGAGGTGATTTTAGAATCAAAATTTGAATTTTTTAAATTAATGTCTGTTTCAGTTACACCTACATATGGTATAATTCAAAATTTATGACAGAATAATCTTTTTGGAGATAGATTTGGCAACGACTGAAAACTCATTTATACTAAAATTTATTATCAGTATAACAAAAAAAAAATCGATACAAGTCAGAGATATTTCGCAAAAACTACTTGAATTTGAATTTTTTTTCCCAACTTGAATTTTTGAAACTATTGAAGAAGCCAAGTTACAGAACTTTTTGTCAAGTGTTAATCCAAGTTTTATACTGTACAAATTTTCATTTCTATGCGGAAGTACATAGTTTGAGAAATTACTTCGAGATGGATTACTTAAATTTATGGTAGTAATATGTATTGGTTTATGGTAATACCGTGATGAAATTAAGTAGAATATTTTCCGTAACTGAAAGGAAATTTACGAAACATTCTCATCCATCGTCTATCTTCTCTTACAAAAATTCATTTATAAGTTTAAAAAAAAGAAAAAAATTTCTCTGATTAAAATTTGTTTAACAAATTACCAATACAAGAAGTAGTTCTATACTTAACAAATAAGGCCAATGTAATTGAGGACTAGTTAGTTGATTCACTGCTTAGTAATAAGCTTGGCTTTTAGATAATTTGTAAGTTAACATCAGCAATTGAAGATTTTAGTGAAGAATGTTAGTAGAAAATATGAAATTTGAGAAAGGAGATGAATTGTAATGTATGTTTAGATGATTAAATTTCAACCCTTCCAGTTCATCTATTACTAAAAATATTTTAAGATGGAATTGATTGATCGAAAGATCGAAAAGAATTTGAGAAATAATTGAAATTGATCGATTTACAATCATTTTACTGTTAATGAGTTAGAATTTCTAAACATATTCAAATAACGTTAAACTGATACTGAGCAAAAGTTTGACTAAAATAAGAAATTGAACTGAAATACTTCTATTTACTCATTTTTCCTTATCAATGATCAATTAATAACATTTAATTTAGTACCATCCATTATAAATTAAATTGCACATGTTCATCTCTTCATAACAAGCTTTTATTATTGAAGAAATTTTTTTTCGTTTAAAATAACTTTTGCAATTAAAAGAAAAAAGAAACAATGGAATAATTGCAAAGAAATTTGTGATAATATTTGCAAAAAAAAAAAAAAAAAACGAAAATACATTTCAAATATATCAAAATGTACAGAAAAAAAAGTATTTAAATGCATCATTTTAAATGATTTTTTTTTTTCAAATAAACAAAATAGCAAAAGTTAAATATGCAAATACGAAATGAAATTTTTAGTTAGGAATTTCAAATAAAAATGATGAATACATTCCCATATTTCATCTAAAATTTTCAATATTGAAAAGCTTAAAAGTAATTAATATATTCGATAATAACATTTGTTTTTTTTTTTTGTTTAAAATTATGGCCAATTATTCATTTCATATAAAACTGTAACATTTCAAAATGTAATTAAATGCAACATTAAAGCCTTATAGCAATGGTTCTCAATTTTTTTTCTTAATCATTACCCTAACCATTTTTAACTTTTTCATTAGTAGAAAATTCAAGAATAATAAATCCTGTTAATTTGAAAATATACTTTTTAATTACAACAAAACTTTTAAAATTAAGAACGGAAATTTTTAATAAATTTATTTAAAACAAATACTGATAATAATAATCATCAATTATTTTCGATTTATTCCATCTAATACTTTTACGGACTGCATTTTAATTCCCGCGGAATACCAGCTGCTAAGAATCATTGCTCTATTGAATAAAATGCATACAATATAATGAATTAACAATTAATACAATACAATTTTAGAACTTATCATTCGATATCATTATTCATTATTAACTTTTAAGCCTAAATAATCTAAAATATTTTCATAAAATTTCAACATAAATATCAATGCATCATTGATATTTATCAAAATTATATCATAATATGCTTGTAGATAATTTGTCCAAATAATTTCCTTCATATTTTGTATCATTTCTTGTGATTGAATAAATGCTCCCATTGTTAATGATGATAAATTGAAGCGCAATTGTCCTTTCAATAATGTAACGACCATTTCTGCTTCATGATATAATCGTTGGAAGAAATTGTTGTAATTATCATTACATCGAATTGTTTGTGTTAAATCAAATGATAACCATTCATTGATCATTTTAATAACATCACATAGCATTGATGGTTTTGATTGAATACGATTGAAATCATCATAAAGAATTTTAAGCGCAATTAAACTCCAAAAGAGTATGAAAATTACCACGAATAATTGTATTGTAATAATAGCAATATACCTATAAACATTTCATTACAATATTATAATTTAAAAATTATAAATTAAAATCAATAAATCGAAGAATAATTAATTGTTATCATTAATTAATCCTCTCATTTAAATGTATAATTTTGGTTTATATATTGCGCAAATTCGTATTTATTAATTAGAAATGCATTGGATAACCTCGATGATATACTGTAATGCGGAAAAAATATATGATAAAATATTTTTAATTTATTGTTTCTCTCAACGTTTCCTGATAAATGATAATAATAAAGGCATCCTTTTTTTTTTCTTTCTTTTTACTTAATTAATCATTTTACATTTAATGAAAAGGAGTTGAAACAAAAAAAAAAAAGTTATTTTAGAAAAGATAAACTCTCAAACACACAAATAATATTTATAATCAATGCTTGGTTGATAAATGTATTTGTCAGTGATAAAAGAAATATGATTATCAGTAATGTTGAAGCATTTGAAGGATAAATTAATTAATTAAGAGAAAAAATCTAGCAATTAAAACTGCAACGAAATGCTATCTCAGGAATTGATCATTAATTATATATTTTCATTACAATACATACCATATTTTCCTCAAATAACTCTCGGAATTTGCACGAGCATCATTTGCTGTGATTATTTCTGTTATTGGTTGTACAACTTGTTGATCTGATGATATGCAAGTGATAATATCCGTCCTTATCATTTGTTCCTAAAAAAAAAAATCCAATTTTTTTTTAAATTTCGTATTTATGAATAATTTTCAAAATTTTGCGCATGCAAAAAAAAAGCAAAATAGAGAAATAAATATTTCAAACATATAAAAAATGATTTTAAAATTTGAAAAAATGAATATTCGTATATCAAATACGTCAAATCCGTTATCTAACAAATGTTATGCATGCATATTTGAATAAGTGGAAAATTAAAAGGAAGAAAAAAACAACAACAATAAACCTTAAATAATGTAAATAGTTTAAAAATTTTAATTTAAACCAAAAAATTTTTAAATGGAGAATTTTGGAAAGAAAAGAAACTTTTTTTGAATGAAAATTTTATAAAATAAATTGTGTTTGTTATGCAGCTAATGATCTGATAATAACCAGAATAATGGATAAACAATAGTCGAACAAGTGGTAAAAGTGATAAAATGATGAAACGATTAGAAAAAATGATAAAAATGATTTTGCATCAAATTTATCAGTAAAAAAAAAGGCACAGATAAATGGGATAAGATATGATGCATAATGTTTAATATACAAGATAAAAGAAATAGTAATAGCAACAATATCATACATTACAAGTGATAATAATATGATAGTGATAGTGATAAAGATAACAATATGAAAAGTGGTAATGATATGATAACTGATATTGGTGAATAGTTACAAAAAAAAGAAAAAGAAAAATCTCGATTTTTCATTTCATCGAAATTAATTTCTTTACTGTTTTTTTTCACCTCTTAATAATAGTAGTTTCTAATCTTTTTTTGATCATTGACCTTTTTATCAGTAGCATGGATCATATGAATCAAAAAAATTTTTAATCGAAACTCTTAATGTATTATTTTATCAAACACTGATAAGATAAGAACAATTACTTGCCTATTTTTCTACTTACCGCATTTGCCGCTCTCAGGAAACATCGGTTAGGAATTATTGGATCTAATATAATAATAAGTGAATTGCATAATCAAATTTGAAATAAATTTTGAACAATTTTATCAGCTCATTAAACTTTTGAAATATTTTATTGATAAATGATAAAAAAAAACGATAAAACAAAGAAAGAAATTTTATTTAATATTTTTTAAAACATAGATTAAAGAGGTCAAATTAGTCTAACTGACCTCAGTGTTCATATTCCGGGATGTTAAACTACTACTATAGTCTGCTGATGCTGTTGTTGCTGTTGTTGTTGTTGTTGTTGTGGTTGAATCGTCCAAAATAGCACTATCAACATAAATCATCCTACTTGGTGTAGCTTTAGCATTAGTAGAATCAGTAATCGGGATGGTATTTTCGGAATCACCGTTATTTTCACTTTCCGTTTCAACATACGATACTTCAACAGCAGCATCCTCTTCTTCCGACATATCTGGAGTTGATGTGAACGGTGGTTCGGCAGGAATGTAGTAATTATTTGATGTTTTCTAAGAAAAAAAAAAAAAAAAAATGTTAAACGATAATTTTAGAATTATTTTTAGTGAATTATAAAAATTAAAGAATAATATTATTAAATGATTGCAATGATAGTTAGTTTTAATCAATCAATTTTATCATTTAATACTGATAGTAAAATATTGATAACATTATATGAAGAAAAATTTGAATATTTAAATAATTATTCAAATTTAACATATTTTCAACTAATATCAATAGAATTTTTGACAAATTTTGGTAGAAAAAAAAAGAAAAATTAAGAAATTTATGAAATTTGATATATTGAATATAAAATGTCAATTAATTGCGTTTTTTTTTTCTTTTTTTCTTTCAAACAATATTTACTTTTTGGCTTTTTTTTTCTTCACTTTCAAAATTTCTAATCTTAAATTTTATTATTTTTCATTATCTAAAAATAATATCACTAAGTAAGAGACTAACATTTCAGCATGGCAATAATATTTAAAAAAAAAAAAGTTTGTCATTATTCATTTTGAAATCATAATTTTTATAATTGAAAAATTTCATTTAATTTTATCATTGATTAATATCTTTCGAAATAGTTTATAAAATTATAGTATCAAAATTATAATTTAAAATAATGAAATTAAATATTTGTATGGAAATACACAGAGAGAGAGAGAGAGAGAAAAGGAAAAAGAAA